GATTTGTGTCGTCAGTAAAACAAACGGACGTTTTGAAGGTTAAAACAACCGTAAAATCCAGTGTTGCAAAATATTGAAACAGTGTGTTTTCCGGTACACTACACTCCTGCGCTGCAGATGCTGAGGGTTGATTCTCAGCTGCTTTGTCCTTTCCATATCTAGGTGTCATCAGTTCTGTTGGGATTAGCTTTCGCCCACGTTTTGGTTGATGTCTGGTTTTAGTTGCCACTGTCACTGTTTTCCTCTCGGAGTTATGGTCACTTTTCGCCTAGCCTTCTGCCAAAGATGTGGAAGACAACGACGATCGGGACTTGGCTGTTCCTGGTTCAGGAGCAACGACTTGTTCACCATTCCTTTGGTTAAATATCTCTAGCTTTAACTGCTTCAGAGTTTATTCCAAGGGAATGATCTTACTGCTCATTTGTTTCTCGGCTTCTGCGGCCAACCGGTTTCATTTCTGAACTAGGACAAGCATGCACTTGACAAATGGAATGGTCGAGCTGGTAGTAAGGAACCATAGGACAACTTAAGCTCTATTCCTCCCCCGCATCTGCTGCTGGGATAAGCTGGCACTCTTCGGATCATACCACTTGGAACAATGCGAGTAAGTTAAGCCTCGTTTGATTGATCGTTTACATTCACCTGACTCGCAAACTCCCTTAGCTTGGAGCCATTTTACTTATGCACTTACTCGGTGTTTGCCATTCTGCTTGGTGTCGTTGCCTGAGCAAGCGGGATGACTGATGACTTTTCCGACTTTCGTAACGATATGCATCGGTCAGGCGAAACTTGAATTTGTGAGCAGTCGGTAGAGTTGATTTGGCACAGCGTCGGTCCAAGGTGTATGCAGTTGCACCAGTTGACAAATCCCAAAAATTCCAAGATGGCGGATTCAGACAGCACTTGGATCAATAAATGGTATCTCCGAAAGTAGCTATAGAATATCCCCCAAGTCATCCCAGATTGAAGGATTCACCAAAGGAAGAATATTCGTGCACAGTGCACACAGAATGGACGTATAAGACAGTAATCCAGAACACCCTAGTTTTAAAATCCGCGGCGTCCATGGGTACAGCCGCTATCCGTTGTCCATGCGCATCTGTTTGTTAGCGTCACTGAAAGTGTAGTGAATGCATTGCATATGTCAGTGAACGGAGGAGTTACACGCTTGTCAAGGGATGCCATATGGGAATCCGGATGTAGCCGAGGTTAATCTACCTCATACGTAGCACACATGGTTGGCGGCATCCGGTTCCGGATTTGCGTGTCACGACGGCCTACATAGGACAGTCACAGGACACCTCCGCCTACAGAGGGACCATGAGTGGCTTGCGCTGCACCACCCATAGCTCCATCCACACATATCCGATGTAAACCTGAAGGGATAAGGCCGGGAGGAATGTGGTTGGGAGCCAGTTTTCATGAACGGAGCCAGCCCACACACCTTCAACATGCACAGCAGCAGCATTCCTGTCTAGCTATCCTGTCTATCTATGTATGGAATCACGCGTACCAGAATTACACAAAGCGTTAGCTAGGTCGTAGTCCGCTCCACACTGGCTGCATGGAACCACTCTTTGAGCTTAGCACGGCCACGAGGACCGCGCACTCCTTCCCCCAGCAATGATTCACGGTCTTCTGGAACCAGCACTCGGGGTCATGTGTGATAGACCGGTAGGCATTTCGTCTACACACACATCAAGCCTAGCCACACCGGAGATGTGTGGAAATGTCTAACAACCAACACAGAATCTGAGGGAAAGCCAACACACGACATCGACATAGAATGTGTAGCAAAATAACAGCACAGAACAAATAATTAAGGTGGAATAAACTTTATCCAGATTAAAAAGATTTGATTTAACTGTAAGTCAGTTTAACCCAACTGTGGTGAAGAAACATAATGTATGCAACTTCAACCTCAGCATGAGGCACGTAGCACACATATTGGTATGGGTTTCAACATTGTCCTTCCGACAGATGTCTGTTAACCCTCGGTCCTCCACGCAGTCTGGAGTGCAGCATCTTCGTGAGGACGTGGTGCATAAATCTACATAAACCTAACGCATGTTGTACGCCATTATTCCAGATGCGTTTCCTATGTTGAGCTGGCATGAATGTACATCAGAGTAGACGCTAAGCATCGAAGAATAGCTTGGGGTTTGAATAGATGTCTTAGACAAGCCCACTTTATTTGCTCACGAAGTATAGCCCTGCCTCTGGAATTGTGTGTATCAGTCATACAACTAGCACCTTTGGTTAGTTGGCAGATAGTCCAGCGATTTACGTCTGCTGGTTGATTTACAGTCTTCACACATATATTTGGCAAGGGGTAACAGTTTTCGAAGTTAGCGCACTATAAACCTCTAAAGGTCAGTTTATTGTCGGCTGAAAAATTAACCTTATGCACTAGACTGACTGGCTTTAAGCCTTTCATTTAATTTCCGGAGGTTACTTCCATGATGGTCATAGTACCTCCATGTGGAGCATCCAGCACATCAAACTCCAAATTGCCACGTTAATCTAGTAAAATAGTGTAACCTGACAGATGAACATGAAAGGACAGATCACCCCTGGGAGTGTCAGTTGCTTTGGATCATCCAAATTTTCACTGCAATGGTATTTCGTCTTCCGCAGTGTTCCGACAAAGATACTATACGTTTTGCAAGTTCAGAGAGACCGTGGGCTGCCGCCGTTCTTTCAGGAATTGCTGGCAGTACACCTAACCTTGATCTATTTTTAGTCCAGAACCCGCAGCTCTGCGATTACAAGTCAGCAGTTTCAAGCCCTAGACTACTTCGAACTACAACGAGCGACAAAGGTTAGTACTTGTGATGCGCTCGCACCGTATTTATACGACGACGCTAATGGTGACTTATTTCCGGCTGCGGTATTTCACCATGCAGCCTCCGCATCAATGAGACATCACAACATGTGCTTGCCCAGCTCTGGGAATTTTATTTCACAGCTCTATCAATAGCACCCACTCATCCGTGATTTTTCCGGTGGCGTTGCGACCCCAGGGTGCCATTAACAAGCTTTAGATCCGCCATTAACACAATCTCTTAGTACAGTCACCTTGCAGGGCCTAAATGCAGTTTATTTCTGGTTGGTGACACCCTGATCCCTTCCACCGATTGTTCAAGCCATTTCCTCTATCCATCTTTTTGACACTCTTGAAGAACTACTCAGCTAATGCCGGTACTTCTTCGATGAAGACTGCAGTCATTTTGTTCCAGGAATTATTAGCGAGTTGAAACACCGCTTACGACTCAACTGAGAGGACTGAAAAAGCAACAGCCTACCACTTTCAGCAACAGCGGCAAAGGCACATAAGTATTGTGGTATGCTGCCATTTAATGAAATGACAAATGCCGCCCAGAAACACTCCCGTCGATACGTGGCTTCACTGGGCCTTGGAGAAAACTCGAAAGTAGGTCATCATATGTCCATCTCACTGGAATAAGCCGTCAGACGGAGTTCTTTCTAGCTCTGCATTCAAGTACACTGAATAAAATAGACCGATAGGTCACAATCTAAGAAGTGGTTGTCATTAAGCGAGCCTTCCTTTGATTAGTTTGTTGAGTTGCACACGACTAAACCTTCATGTGGCAACGTATATGTTTGGTAGCTGACAAGGAAAACTTGGAAGACCAGTTGTGAACACATGAAAGAAACATATAACATCACAAAAGACAAAATTACAAGTACGGACGAAAGAATATCCCCGTTAACTGTACCTTACAGTTGTTTGTTCCACTTTAGTTAACAATTAGGCACCAAGCTCCCGTGGCTAACTAAACAAAACATACCTTAGAGTCAGATGGCTAGCTGAGCAACATCCTCGTGGTGCCAGCTGTGCCGTTCGGGTTCAACCCGTTCCAGCAAATAGTTCGGCGGCAGTGTTCCAGGAGGTGGTGGATTTTCGCCTGGCAAGCGTTCTCGCTATAAAAAGCCACAAATGTCCGTATGACAACACTGTGACGTGGCGGTTGTGACTCGCCAGAAACTAAAGTTACCCATTGCTTATCCGGACAACTGCTTCAAGTCCACAGTCATCAAGCATTCATTGTGCACTGCCGACACTTTCAAGCACGATCAAAAAAGGCAGGAAAACATTTACAAATCCCATACATACAGCTAAATACGCCTACATGCACACTTACATACATTGCTATATTAACAAAAATGTGACTATCCCATGGTTCCATTAACATTAGCTGATCACATTTTGTACTCTTGACATGGCCATATCTGTGCAGGCGTGCCTCGCTTAGTCGAGAATAAACAGTTTATTTATTTAAGTTTGTTTCGCTACCCCTTGCAAAGCATATATTATAAACTCCATATCACTGTGAACCGTTGAGATAATCCACTATTATTATATCGCGGATTATTTGCAATACATTAATCTAGTTAACTTATAGTAAGCGCATCCACAGCATAGAAACGCAGCGAAGCAAACGATAAGTCCTTCTTTTAAACGTAAATAACCCAGTATTATTTTATTTTTCGATTACTATGCAAAGCCACCCAACGCGACATGCAAATTATTGCTTCCTATCTGTATAAATTCATTGTTCATTTATTCCATAAACAGAATAATCTTTTAGGGGTCCACATCGCTTAACGCAGTAATCGTCGCTTCAGAGCCAAATTAGCAATCAAACAACAATTATGGGGGAAATTCGAACACAATACCCGATTTGTAGTTTCAGACAGGGGACTGATGACAATGTTTTATGAACAAGATTGCCTTATTCATTCTCAGCTGAATGTCTCTCTCATGCGCCCGAAGGATATCCCGACATTGTCCTGACATCAGTAAACTGACCACCCGAATTACTAATCTGACGCGGTGTAAGGCACGATTAATGGAAATGCGTGTAGACGTAACCCCCGCTGCATTAGTCAGCCAATGAAGATACAGTGTGCATTTGTGCGAGTTCCTGATTGGCCATGCATTATCGAACGACCCTGTTACCTTATTTTCGTGTGCCATAGATTCCTCCCGCGAACAGGCGCTCTTCGTGCGCACTGTCTCGTCAGGTTTAGGTTGCAAGATGTCTGATGCGATTTCGCAGCTCAGAGTCACACTGAGCGCTTTAGCTGGGTAATTCTGACGGACTGTACACACTTTCGCTCGGCAATTTCGTATTTCGGCAAGCAGAGAAGCGTTGAATTATCATTTGGAAAACAGGTTCCACAGTGTTCAGCACAAAAGAATATGTCCGAAACCGAACCTATATCAGACTGCGATGTTGATGATCCTAAACGAATCACAGGTAGGTATGGACATCAGATGCTCTATTACGGCTTGATCAAAATGCACAGTTTTCAGTAAATGTTAAAATGATTAATGAATCATATCTCGGTCAAACAGTTAAGCCAGTTGAGTAAACAAGGTTTACTGTCTGCCTCCATTATTGAATGTGTCTACTACCGAAATTATAGTAAAGTTTCCCCCACTTAACTCTCCACGATTAACTTAACTAGCCCACTATGTTAATTGCAAGCGTTCTCCCGATAAAAAGCCACATATGTCCGTTTAACGGCACTGTGACGTGGCGGATGACTCGCGACAAACTAGTCACTGCCCCGTGGATATCCGGATAATGCTATTCAACCCGCGGACATCATTCGTTTATTTTCAAACTTCTGACGATATCAAACAGTCAAAAAGACGGCAACACACTTAAAAGCACAAGCGATACAGCTACTGACGGAACGATATATATATATATATATATATATATATATATATATATACCATACACACATTCACTGTTATATAAAACATGTACTTTTGTATATTTTTGACCTTCGGTATGTTAACACGATCACGTTGTAAAAGTGCGCCTCACATTGTCGAGAATGAAAAGTCTACTTATTTATTTATTTAAGAGCGACTCTGGGCGGTCCGAATCTATTCAAGTATGTCATAAACACACTTGAATCGGTTTGGTTCGGAAAAAGTAACATAATGCAGTTAAGTATCTGTTTCCATTTGTTTGGTGTTATATCGTTGGTTTGTATCTTATGAATATGGTTTAATAGTAAGGCATACGTGACAAATGCCCTCTTACCAAGATATTTCACTTTTGCTCCTGATCACTTCGTGATACAAGGGAATAACATAAGTGATCCAATGAAAATAAGATGAACAGCCACCAAACGAAGTGTTCACTACTCGTCCACGTGGAACTTTGCTTATTCACTTCTTTGTACTGCTCTTGGGGAACGCCACCGGGGCAATGTTGAGGTGGGACATGTACCGGAAGGTAGCACATTGGTTGGATAAACGTACGCATTCGAGATTCGGCACCGAAAATGCCGTTTCCTTTACACGACATACATGCAGTCCATACCATGAACGAATTTGAATTGCACATATACAGTGGCATATGCAAGTCAACGAAATTAACTTCAAGGGATTACTCACGCGTTTCCACGAAATGGCATTAAACATGCCACTGATCGTCGCCGTCACCTACCTGTGTTCAACCCGTGTTAAGTCACTCGAAGCATCCGACAGCCGAATCGCTCTATTGAGCCAAAACTATCACTAATGAATTATTTCATGGCATTTTCTACCCGTTTTCTTGCAGCCTATAATTAAATAAATAAATAATTTGTTATTATCGACTAAGCGAGTTACACTTGCATAGGCATGATCGCGGTAAGAGTAAAACAATTGATCAAGGAATGTACAGTAGTATAATAGGATTATCATTTATGTTGATATATGAGTGCATGTGTGCGTGTAAGTGCGTGCAGATGGGTTGCTTGGATTTGTAAATGTTTTGCTGCAACTTTGCTTGTGTTTGAACGTGTCGTCAGTGGTTAATAGATGTTTGACGTCCGTGGAGTTGAAACAATTGTACAGATTAGCAAGGGAGGTGACTTTAATTGGTGGTTAGTCACACCTCTACGTCACAGTGTTGTCAAACGGACATTTGTGGCTTTTTATAGGGAGAATACTTGACAAGCGAAAGCTCATCTCCTCCTGGAACACTGCCGCCGAACTATTTACTGGAACGCGTAAACCCAAACCACCCAGCTGACATTAGAACAATGTACCACCAGTGTATTGAAGTTATTATTAACTTTTATGGTACTCATCCTGTTTTTGCATTGGTAATGTCATGGAAAGAGCACAAAATAATACCGTGATGATAGAACGCATCATCAGATGGCGTCTGTCTTTGACCTGAATTAACTGGACACGTCTTGCATAGCACTGCATATGTTTATCACTGAAAACACGACCTGCATTGCCTAAATGTGGCACGAAATTCCTCTCATTGCTCAGGCGACCAACCAGGTTGTGGATGACACGAAATCAATGTTTACAATTTAGTTTTACGTGCTAGTTTCCGTGTCTGATCATTGTATTAGGCGATATTATCATTAGCCAAGGTCAGTAGTAGTCCTTCCTAGCTAAATCCTTATCAGAGATAGTCTGATCAACTCGGCACTGGAGCTTGTGGACATCAAGACCAGCATGAACAAAGCTCACTTACTGTAATCGTACGAGAGAGGAAATGTCACCTAAATCAATTTTGTTTCTTCCCACGATTCAGTTGACGATGACAGGTAATTCACCCCAACTTATGCGACTTCACTTGGTGCATGAAATTCGCACAACTCTACTCAACCCACAATGTTGCACTGTTTATGTTGGACCCCCAGTACACTCACATATGACAACACGGTGATTCATACAAAAAAATTCATCGTGGTGGTCGTTCCGAAGATCGTCTAGAATTGATGCACAACCCCGTTTATTTGCACGATTGTGTGGGAGGCGTGGAACGTATAGAGATTGCACAAGAGACACATTGGAATCATGTGGTATTTTAGATCGCACATGTAACGATGGACGATTCACTTGTGACTTAGTGGCACAGTTTGGTCTTCAGAACGTCATTCATTGGTTAAGTCTTTGAGGTATATGCGCCAAACCATTTAGTTGGATTACGTGTAGTTAGATTCCTTTCGATTGATGGTGGTGTTGAGGCTTTGAACGAAGGGAAATAGATGCTAGCACAGCACGTTACCGAATACTTAGAGTCTTTCGACTGTGTTGCAAATCTCTGCTCTGGATATAACCCAAAATTTAACATATGTGCTTGTGTACATAACTGGAGGCTGCTCTTTATCCAATTCAGTGCTTGTGAGCACAACATCGTATTGACTTTGAGTGAAGTCGGGAAAACAACTGAAGCAATACATCAGTAGGTTTGCTTAGCTTCATGTCACGAAGGCGAAACGGCTGACTACGATGGTGCACTCTAGCAGAGCGAGATTAGCCAGCCCACGTGAGCGGCTGACAGACTCGTTGCCATGGTCAAACCGGAAGATGATGAAATCAGGCCGTCAGCATGATGCGGGTTGCTGCCCGGTCGGTAGTAGCAACGCATAGTCACGCGGGAAGCTGATGAAACCGGCCCGTCAGCATGACACAGTTTGCTGTGCGACAGGCATAAGCACGAATACAGCTGGCCAGTGCGGACCGCAAGCAGATTTGGAACCTGTCCAGACAAGTGGTGTGAGTCAGCTCAGAACGTACAACCGGAAATGATAGAAGGTGACCTATAGAATGAACCGTGTTCTGTGCCTAATCTACTTCGCTTTTGTTTTGTCCCTACCTGGGTTGGCGTGGCAGAGAGCAGAGGGAAAGCAGTGTTGCAACATTTCAGGTGCCTGCTTGGCTCACCAGAAAGATCGTTTTTGGACCAAAGGGTATTGGCGATACAACAATCTTACTAACCACAATTGGTTTGGATTGATAAGTGAAACTATCTTCGGAAACAAAGCATTTCACTTAGCGCTTAGCTTGAATCCGAATCTAATACCGAACGCACACTTACTTTGGTCAAGGATCACATTACATTTCAAGAATCGTTAAATCAATGTTTGTCAGTGCTCATCACGCGATGATTTCATAGATGCACACATGAGTAAATCAGCTGGATAGAATCGCACATTGAGTAGTTCTCACAATTCCATTCATCACTATCTACAGTCTTACAGCTGACAAGCGCAACCCAAAGGGTAAACCGTCTTACAGTAGAAGCTCAAGTGGTGTATTAACTGCTGTCAAAGCTGAAGATTTTCATTCAACTAACTGGATGTACACAATTTTCCCGTCAATATTCCGACTTGCAGAATTAACAAAGACTAGCCATAAGATCTCCAGCAAAGCATTTGAGAATAAAGGACATTGTTCGGCGGTAACCGACTTTTAAACACAGGCCTAGTGTCACACTATCATGTTTCAGAGAAGTGGAATTAACTATGACTTTTCGCAGCCGAAGGCATGAGCAACTGTGAGAACGGATGCCGCTGACAGTCTTCTGGAGCTAGTTATCGAGGTGACGGTTTTCGACAGGAGACACTTTGTCGCCTTTCCTACCAAGCGCAGCCAAACCAAAGGTAATACTCAGAAAACACTCTGAGGCACACGGCAATTCAAACGGTAGCGATGATGAAGCACGATTATCACATATTTCCCATTATTTGCCTGGGTTAGCGAGCGAACCGAGAGGCAGCGTACCGACACTAACCCATTCAACTTAATCGTCAGCTCTTCGATAATGGTTCCTCGTGGTTACTTTGATGACTAGCCAGAACGGTTCAGCTGAAGTGCACACGATCGCATCTGCTATTGCACCAGGTGGGTGGCCGCGAAGCACCAGACCCCGTGGGCGCCTGACGCTTGCGCAACCGGCGTTTTTCTTCCTGGTGTAACAGACGCAACTGTATTCTTGCTATGCTCAAAGTATTTGCGGCGATCCATTGTCATTGCTTTCTTATGCTTGAAGCTAACTTTAGTTCGATACAAACCTTGATAATGTCATTATAGCAAGCTTCTGGTTTGTTTAGATTTATCTTCCTTGCATTCATTCGCGATACAACAGTGACATCAGTATCCTCCTCGTATTTATATGGCGTAGGTGTCCGAGTGTTGTAGCAACAGCATGCATTCCATTACGTACATGGCGTTCTGCCGGAACACTTCTAAATGAACTCTGTCATCCCAACGGATGCGTGTTATCCGATGCAAACATTGACGATGGAATCACTCCAGATATCGATTAGGTTGTCCGTGTAGCGTCCATGTTTCGCTGTCGTAGAGCAGAGCCGAGAGTATGATTGACCTGTATACAATCAGCTTGATCCAAAACGTCAGCTGACGATTCTTACAGACCCGATATACCAGCTTACTAAAAATTACGCAGACCTTGGACTTGCAGATGCGCAGAAGCATACAGTTCATTTT